TATAATAGATTTCTATACAGTATCAGTGTATAGCTAAAAGTAAAAAGCTGATCTAGATAAATTTATTACAAATCTTTTACTTTGTATAAAATGGGTATAATATAAATCTCAAATTAAAAAAGTTGCATATGATTTTTTTTAAGGAAGAGATATCCTTAATTATGTGCTAAAACTTAAAAGTAAAACACCTGAAAGATCTCACACTCACTTCCGCATTTTGCAAATATTGAAAACAAAATAAGCTGATATCGCGCTGACGCGGGAATTGCTAAAATGCAATGTTCGAAGTATTCATAGCAGTGACATATTATATTCATTGTCAATATAATTTCTTGTTATTACCTGTAAAAGAGGAAATTCGAAATGAGGTCTTCTAAAACCAAAATGCGTATTTTTCTCAAATTTATTTGTCTTCAGAATATCCAAATGATGCGTATAGGTGTGTCAACGTCATAAACTGTAACCAATGAAAATTCACGAAAAAAAATCGAGATACTAAATACCGTTACCCGTCCTATTACCTTATTTATCATTTCAACATAAGGCTCCGCAGTACTAAATAATAGTAAATATAGTATGGCCTTTGTCTTGCGTGACAACATCTAGAGTAAGGCACGTCAGTGCTAGATTATCCTTTTGGAAATTAGAATTTTTGTTATTTAATATGTATAATATGATTGTATCAATGTTATTTCATGTCATATTTATATTAATTTTATGATAAAAGTGTGCTCTTGTATGCTGTTTGATGATCTCATTTATTTTATAAATATAGATATATATGTTCTTTCTTACTGTATGACATTATTATTGTATCATGTGCTATGTTCCAGAATGTATAAATAAACATAAAAATTAATAAAAATAATGTCAGGACATATTGGCATCGAATATGCAAACACTTGTGGTGTCGACATAGTGAATTTTCGTACTCTTTGTTCTATAGGAAATCAGTCACAGTTGAGGCTTAATTCTCGATTCCACTGTTCTTGATTAATTATATACTGTGTTCAATTTTAAACATTAACAATATCTAAGTCAAATGAGGCCAGAAATATAACATGTTAGCCATCTACTTTTTTTCAGAAATTCTGTGGTTAACACCGTTTAAATTCACCACTTTTATAACTCCTGACTGCTGGTGGGTAGTAAATTATTAATCCTTCCGCCAACAAACGAGTTTCTGGAGAATACACACAAAAAAAAATTTTAAAGTCATCCTATAACACACAAAAAATACACACATGCAATAAATACTGTACACTTAAATTATGACCATTCAAACTACAGAGAACTTAAATTGGGACACTTCAAAAGTTAAAAGAACTACTTTCTAATTCTATACGGGGGTGAGACTTTATCAGAACAGAGCTATATCTAATGTCATATATTTTAGGCATTAGTTTAACGTCTACCTAACCTTTGAAAAAAGGAAGGTTGTGAAGGGGTAGGGCATCAGACTGACTGACATATAGGAATGGATCCCTTATCTGGGACTTGTAAAATACACAGATGCGATTTCTGGTGACACACCAAGGAAGCAGTAATCTGGCATGACTTTATGAACATGTCTAGGTACATAAAGAGGGGTTCAATATTTATGAATTGTATGCTTGATACCTTTTTTGGCATCTCATATTTATAAATCCCGTTTCAGCCATATTTTAGTATTTACTGAGAATCAGGATATGAAAAGGCTTATTTTTGTCTAGAAATACACGTCTCAGAGACAATCTCTTAAAAGATGGTTTAATTAAGTCTGCGTTGGCCAATGCTTAGGAGACATAGATTGTAGCTTGCAATTTATAGTACTGTCCCATCGTCGGATACCCACGGCCGAACCATTAAAATTTGATTGCATGTTATGTAACATGTTTATCAATCGTGGGTATCCGACGATGGTACTGTCCATGAAAAAGCTTAATCAAACCCAGGCTGCAATATTTTCAATTTTGCCGTATATAGGATGCTCTTTTGGTATTCATTTCTCTCTATTTCTCATTAATATTTGTTCTTTTCAGCATGCTGTGATGCACAAATTTTAAATTCAGTTTACGAAGACTATCCAAAAAAGTTGACACCAAAGTACTGTTATGAAATTTTAACACACTATTTGCATTGTTGACAAAACATTAATTTTGTATCTATTATTGATATTATTATTGAACCTCATGGCAAATTAAATGGAAAAGAGGTCATTACAATATTTTTAATTTCTATTTAAAACCTCGAAATCTTGCAAACTGGCGTGAATAAATCTTTGACAATATTCGTCATCAAAATTTGTTATTTTTTGATGTACATTCCATAATCTGTAACATGCATCTAACATGATTTTCTGTGAATCGTATATCAGTGTATTTGATGTCTTTTATTAAATATTTGGAGATTATACATCAACTTGTTCTTACAGCTCACTTAATAAACTTATTAAACCAATTAATAAAAATGACACAGTTGGAGGTTCACAAACAAGGGAATGTCACAAAGTGTATGCAGGCCTCGACATTAGCGGTGGTCCGTTGGTCCGAGACCACCTAATTTTGGCAAGGACCACCTAATTTTAAAATGCACTGGTCCGTCGGACCACTTGAATTTTCTGGTTTGTGCAAGGCTCATTTGAGAGAATGGCGATTTGGTCAAAAACATGTTATATACATTTTGTTTAAAACCATTTGTCCTATGAACATGTATATGGTTCATTAATAGATTAATCTGATTAGTTAAAGAAGGTCTTAAATCATCAATAACTTTCATTTTAAGTCGCTAAAATTTTGTCTATGCAAGTTGAGTTAAGAATTTGTGATATTAAGCTAGGTACACATTGCATTCAAATGATGCTAGTAATGATGCATCGTCGGATTACCACGGCGGAACCTTTAACATTTATGTTATGTTACATGTTAATCACACGTGGGTATCCGACGATGGTAATTATGATATTGTATGGGATACCGTATGAACTTTCAATTTCATATACATGAATAATGACAGCAAACTAAAGGAACTAGAACTGGAAAAAATACATCTAGTAATTCTTTGCTTGTTATCTTTATTTTAACTGTTTAACGATAAGAGATCCATTTCTTCCAGAGTTAAAATTACTTTTTTTAAATAAAAGGTTAAAAATGCTCAATGTAAAAAATAAATGTCAAGCAACAGGGCGGTAAAAATTATGTAATAATAATAAATCTGTGAGAAAAATAAGCTAAACTATAGTTATATATAAAGTTGTTTTATTTTTAATCCTTTAGATATTTCCTTGTTTTAAGATAATTTATTAGTTTTTATTAAAAATGTTAATCTATAAAAGATACATGTAATTATCATGATTATAAGACGTATACCATGTATCAGCAATGAATATTTGAATAACAGTAAGAAAAAAACCCAGACACAAATGGTTTCACTATTCCCTAACTTGAGTTGAGGGAGAAATCACTTCAATATAAAAGTTAACATAAATAAGAGCCCTGTTGTGTATTTTTGAATGAGCTATTAAAAAAACAACAAATAACTTCACGACAGAATACCTACTAACTTGCTCTCCTTAATTTATGATAAGATAAAAATATATATCTAAAATGTCTGTTTTCTTTAAAGGTTAATAATACATCTTTGTCATCAATTTTAAGCATACTTTTTTCTAAACTTGCAGTAAAATGATATGATAATAATTGACCACTTGACTTCTGAAAGGACCACCTTAATTTCAAATCTAGTGGTCCGGCTTACCACCTGATGAAAAAGTTAGTGTCGAGGCTTGGTATGTGGATCTCTTTATATCTCATTAATTGTGAAAATCAAACTAATACAAAAGCAGTTTTGAAATTTAAGCTCTGTGCACAGAATATTGACAGACATTGAATTTCTTGGAATGGGAACAGATCCAGTATGTTTAGGGTGCCGTAGCTATTGATTAAGGACGAGATGAATGGTACTATAGCCTGCATGTGGAATGAGAGTTTCATGGATTCACAATAACTTGAAATGAAGTTTTGACTAAATGCGCCACTATACCTTCTACTGTAAAGTTTCAAATTTCTGTAAATTTGTAAACCCACATCATTAAACTAATAATACCGTATTCAACTTTGCAAGTTCAGTGGAAATATATTTCATGTTCTCATGTATAGATTTGTTTGTTTGTTTGATTGGGTTTTACGTCACACCGACACAGTATAGGTCATTTGGCGACGTTGCAGCTTTACTGGTGGAGGAAGACCTCAGGTGCCCTTCTGTGCATTATTTCAGGCACGAATGGGGTACCCGAGTATAGATTTGTAATCACTATAGCTACTTGTAGTATTACAAAAACTTTTGGGACAAATCATGTACAATTTTTTCCATCAAAATTTCAGCATGGAATGTAGTTGCACTTTAATGAAGATTCCCATTTACTTTTCTCTTTAATTTGGTAAGCATACATCTGTTAAATACAGGAACAAGGGGAGCGGTGGCCTAATGGTTAAGGTGTCTGCCTCTCAACCCAGAGATCATGGGTTCGAGCCCTACTCGGGTCACGACCATGTTTCTCCATAAGACACCAGTACTGGTTGTTTCCAGGAAGCGGACTAAGTGATTAATATAAGTTGCAAGAACTTGTTTCGCAATCGAGCTTAAATAAATATGTTTAAACCAACAAGGGGAGGGTCATCGATAATGTTGTTATAACTTTTAGTCCAACACTTTTGTATATTTATATCAATGTATTTTATACTATTTATGTATTATTGTGTACAAAATATTTTTGTAAAATTTAATGTACAGTATTTTCTTAATATACATTTTTCATTAGAGGGGCACTAATTAGAACTAATTAGTAAATGTTTGATATTAAAATCTAATATGGTTAATGGCAAAAGACATGTCTCACACTAACCAAGCAATTGAACAAACAGCCTTGTGGGAAAGCTGATAAATTTCCTCCCATGTGTTCAGCAAAATTCAAAACCATAACAGATAGGGAAGGTGAAATAAAAACTCATGAATACATGTAATAACATATTAATAAAGTGATTTTATTAAATAAAAGACATAAGCACAATGTGTTTATCAAATGGCAATAGTTTTGATGTTTGAATTCTGATTACACATATACAAGTTTTTTAAATTATATACAATAGATAATAATCAAGAAAAAAATATATATTTACAAAGTATAACCTAGAAATTGAAGAGCTCTATAAGTTAGTACATTCAAACAGTATTCAGAAACACATACCGGCCTCGCCTTAAACTGGTGGCCTTGGCCTTTAACTAGTGACCTTAGCCTTAAACCAGTGGCCTTGACCTTTTGTGATATCTTACAGCAATTTAATGTACACAATAACCTGATGTGAAAATGATTTCCATTTTCACATTAAAATAACAATACATGTACATATAAACACACTTAAATATTTATCAGTTTTGAAGGAAAACAAGTGCTACATACATGTCTACAAAATTTTGCATGGAAGCTTATATCATAATTTATCTTTGACACACTCTATATTGGTTGAAAAGATGCTGTGGTTTTGAAGTCACCAACCATGACCTCTCTGCTATAAGGGCTGAATACAACAATATTATATGTATACAAATACACTAATTGCATGACTCAAATACCATCATAGCCTTACACGTTAATAAACAAACAAAAATAGACATCTCAAAATATTAAACTGCCTTGCAAACTGTATGCAAATAAAATATGCTTAAGCAACATTTTATACACACACAAAAACAACACACTTTTTGTAAATATCATACTACAAATATGGGCTTGGGACTCTATAATTTACTGATGCAGCAGTATTGAAGATGTATTTTTTATAAAAACTGGAGATGTAGGTGGACACAGCACAAACCATCTCCCCACCCATTTTAGACAATGCTATATAAATGTGTTGTCAGTTTGCATTTCAAAGAGGTTTTTTCTCCTAATTTAATGTCAATGCTTCACCTGTATACAGTACAACAAAATGTCCAATGAAATGATTACTCAGGTAAAAACTATTGAGGGTATAATTATGTAACTGACATTTGTAAAAATCTTTTAACATTGACCGGTTTTTCAATACAAGCTTAATATGAACCAATCAGTTGCTCCAGACTGTAGAAAAGCTCAGAATTAAATACTTTCACCTCTACTATAACTTCTAAATTCTAAACTTTGTGTCTTTTTTTTTTTTAATGTAATATGGTAAATTATTGTTTACATAAATCAGTAAAAAGAGCTACAATGTACTTTTCTGAAAATATAATAGTATAAGAGTAAGATAAATTTAAATACATATCATGGATGCCTGAATTCTTTCATTTCACTTTTATATTTGCTGCCAGTTAATTTGTACAAATTACATACCTTTGTTAGTACTTAACAATGCTCGTGTTTTTTTGTATCAGAAAAATGAAGCGGTCAACAGCAGTCCAGAAATGAAGACTGGCCTGACTCTATACTTGTGGCGAGGGTCCGATATGATTGCAACTAGCAGTAAGATTTAAGTTTTGGACATAGGAGTATTGACCTATATAGCTCAGTTGTGTAAATGGAAAAGTACTGGTAGATGAAGTTACAAGTTTTGAAAGATGTCTTGCCCCATCTCCTCCCTCTACACCACCACTACCAAACACTAATCAAAGTGCTTGTTTGCATGGCCACATCATCAGCGTGATATAAATGGTTTAGTAGTTATGTATAAAATGGAACAAATTTTGATTTGAGCTGGTGAAATCTTGATTGGAAATCAACCTGAACAAAAATAATATTTAAACATTCTCTAGACACCTAGCATAGTGAGAGATTAATTAAATATCAGTTATCTCGACTTATTCTTCCACAAATATATCGGTATTACCTCAGCAATGTTTTCATAACATGATTACATACAAATTATTGAGGTTTTTTTTCTTTTCTGACTGCTAACAATGAAAGCAAGTATTTATATTACTGACCTACAAGATTTGACATAAAAAAGTGACAATAATAACAAAGTGAATAGAAAAAAATAAAATAAATAAATGATGAAATGGTCTATCTAGATGTTTTTTTTGTTAATTTGTTTGTTTTAAAATACTTTGTATCACAAATATATACACAAATGTATGCCATAGTAAGAGTTTTGATTGTGGCAGGTGCTTTTCCAATATATAATGTTTAATAATGTTTTTCATATCTAGTACTCATGTCTTATAAAAAAACATGGCAGTAACTCTATAACAGTTTATACATTAATATTTCTATACACATGGAAGCATTTCACAAAATAACAGATACAAACTTTCAAACTACATGTAATTCCAATTTTACAAAAATTGAAAGTTTCGATATTTATCAATTCTTCAACATTAAGAAATTTTCACAAGTTACAAAAACAACAATTCCACGCTAATATTTTGGTTGATGACTACTTATGTTTTAAGCTTAATGTGTCTTTACTTTGTTGAATTGATTAGATTTATTCTCAGACAAATAAACATATATGATAAAACAATCATGATGATTTTTTTTTAATTAATGTTACCTTGACATTTAACTGACCTTGACTGCCAAGGTCAAATAAATGGAATTTGAATTTAATTTGTAAAATTATATTAAACCAGCTGTGAGCTAACACTTTGGTTCATAGCTTTTTCAAGTATTCACAATTACTTGGTTATTATGTATTTTATTAGTCCAGACCCTGTCCTTGAACAATTGTGTTCTAAAGAAATTTGTGCAATAGATTTGTCCTTGAACAGTCCATTTGAATTTTTAGGGGATTTCAACAAAACAAATACAACAACCCAGCAACATTAAGTACAGAGCAGACTGACCTCACTGATGTACATGATGGCCAGACAGATGTACAGACTAGCCTGACAGATGTACAGGTCAGACTGACAGATGCACAAGCCGGACTGGCAGATGTACAGGCCAGGCTGGCAGATGTACAAGCCAGACTGATAAATGTACAAGCCAGACTGAGAAATGTACAAGACGGAGTGAAAGGTGTACAGGCCAAACTGACAGATGTTCAGGTTGGACTGACAAATTTGCAGGCTTGACTGACAGATCTAAAGGCTAGACTGAAAGATGCACAGGCTGGCCTGACATATAACACAGGCTGGTGTGGCAAAGGCTAGTCAATTTTGACTCAAGCTGGTTTAGAAACATAATTATGCTAAATAAGTAAATATTCAAATTTCATTCTTAAATATACACCGACTCTAAAGAAACTGTTCAAGAACACACATTGTAATTCATGAAGATTACTTATCAGTGAAAATTAAAACAGCAAAATGAATATAAAGAATGTCACCCTTTGCCTGCTTGCAGCAACTGACATTTCCATGCAAGCAGTTCAGACCAATATCAGCCTGCACATCTGTGCCATCTGATCATGATCTGCCCAGTTTGCTATCCAGTTAACTTATATTTTGAAACTTTCACTATCAATGATGAATGGTTTTGTCAGTATTGAAAGACGGACAAGTCTGTGAAATATAGAGCATATTAAAGATTAAAGACATTTTTGTCAAGATGTCAGCCTTTTCGAGTTGATAAAGAGTACTAAGGGAACAGAATACTGTTATCACAAGTGTTAACATAGGATGCTGTGTGTAATATTGAATCACTTTGTACATTTTCCTGCTATACACCAATACTGTATCATCATTTCCTCGTGCATGGCCAATCCAATCCTCCACATGCCGCTGATACAATAAAGTAAATAACAACCTGGAAATAGTAAAATGAAAAACGGAATTACAACCTGGAAATAGTAAAATGAAAAACGGAATTACAACCTGGAAATAGTAAATAACAACCTGGAAATAGTAAATAACAACCTGGAAATAGTAAATAACAACCTGGAAATAGTAAGCAACAACCTTGAAATAGAAAAATAACAATCTGGAAATAGCAAATAACAATCTGGAAAAGTAAATAACAACCTGAAAATAGCAAATAACAACCTAGAAATAGTAACAAACAACCTGGAAATAGTAAATAATAACCTGGAAATAGCAAATAACAACCTAGAAATAGTAACAAACAACCTGGAAATAGTAAATAATAACCTGGAAATAGTAAATAACAACCTTGGAAATAGTAAATAACAACCTGGAAATAGTAAAATGAAAAACGGAATTACAACCTGGAAATAGTAAATTAAAAATGGAATTGTATCAGAAACAGAAAAAGGGTATGAAAATGAAAATAGAACATTTAATGGATATTGGATATACAAAAAAAATGAAATAGGGTATTTTAAATTCTCCTACTATCTTTAAAATGACAGAGTGTAGACCTTCTGTACAGTTGGTTTAAAAGCCATCTCCAACTCTTATCTTTTTAGAACTACATGTATTATAATTTGAAATTATTTATAAAGCCATATGTTACTATTCAAATCAATATTTACATGTTGGAACTGACAAATCTCAGATAAATCTCAATTTACAGGCAATATATATGTTCATACTGATCTGTCTTTGCTCAACCTCAATTTAAGGCAATGAATACAGAATTTTATGTTGTAGAAGTTTTCTGAGGCTTTGTATTTGTTATGAGCAGCATCAAAATTTATATCAATGAAGTGAGATATCAATTTTCCGACACTGCGAGTAGCAAAATTCATGGCCTCAGAAAGCTACTACAGAATGAGTTTTGATATAAGTACACATGTGGTTATTTCAGAAACAGAAATGAGCCGCATCACGACAAAACCAACATAATGGGTTTGTGACCAGCATGGATCCAGACCAGCCTGCACATCCGCGCAGTCTGATCAGGATCCATGCTGTTTGCTATCAGTTTCTTTACTTGTTATAGGGTCTGTAAGCGAACAGCATGGATCCTGATCAGACTGCGCGGATGTGCAGGCTGGTCTGGATCCATGCTGGTCGCAAACCCATTATGTTGGTTTTGTCGTGACGCGCCTCAAATATACCTGTCAAGAAATAAAATTCATGAATGACTGATGAATAAGTAATGTTTTCAGTAGTTTTTGTTCCCTTTTTAAAATGCTATGTCATACACAGCTAAGATGAGAACAAATGAGAAAAATAGTTTGGCATATCAATGAATGTTTCTTTATTTATCACTAACATAATACAGAATTTTTAATCCTTTGCATTATATTAGATCTTCGAGTTTTGCATGTATTTTATGGGGGAAATTTATAGGTATATACAATATGTGTAATAAATCAACATAGTGATTATTTTGTACTGACAAATCTCATATCAACTTAAAAATATTCTAGCTTTATACTTACAATTATAATTACAGCAATTATAATGGTTATTTTTATATTTTTCCACCACAAAGAACGTGCCAAATTTCGGCTGGTTTTCTTAAAAGTGATAGCCTGAAATAAAAACAATTGTTTTAAGGAGAATTGTGCACTCTGCTGCTCTCAGTACATGACAATAGAATAATAGCATGGAGAATGTAGGAATTACTAGTAACAAATACGACAATTTCATTTAAAGATCCTGTATATTGTAATTGAGGTTGTATACCACTCTTAAGTGAAATTATATATATGTATATAATTATGCTAATAAAAACAATCTTCAAACATCAAAGAATATGTAAACTATGTACTGCAAATATTTGTTCACATTATATGTAATCATTAAAATATATGCATTCATTTCTTATTGAAAAATTTGACTGTCTTTACAGAAATAAATTTTTTATTACCTCCCTTTATTTACATGAAATGTTAAATTTAGTAATATCTTTATAAATAATGTTTTTTTGAACTTACAAAATTGAATAATCTTAATTTAAGCATCATATTTATGATATAAAACCATAAAAAAAATTGTGTACAGGATCTTTAAAGAACATGTTATGTAAAATGAGTTATGAGTCAAGTGGACACCAGTGGAAGATTGAAATTGCACACAAAACTTTGACCAGACTTTTTTTTTTCAGGGAACAAAGGGCCATGATTTTGTTAAAAATTGATGCTTAAGTAATGGGACTTGAAATTGACAGTTTCGTGTGATAACCTTCAACATGCAAAAATGATAACCAGGACTTTAATACAAAAGCCTGCATTTTATTAAAAATCCATGCCAGAGTTATGGGTCTTGGAATATGACCTTCAGTTATAAACTGAACACATGTACTGAAGTATTAAGTTTTATCTCAATGCAAAGAGCTTTGCCTGGTGTTATCCTTGTGGTCGAGATCAGTAACCACTAATAGTGAAATATAACCTTTCGAAAAAATAACTGCGCCAACTATACCACTATGTCCCTACTTAGGTTTATTCCATCTTGAGTTACTGATGGGACAAGCAAAAAGTGACATACATTAATAATGACATCTTAGACTGACCCAATTGTTGTATGGTCTCAAATTTAAAGTTGAAGGGGGGGCATATAGGACAGACCTTTGTACATGACAACCTTTGATGCCTGACAAACCTCCTATAACGATAAGAGCTTGGTAAACATCATTACTGTTATATACCAGGAAAACAAGAAATCTGAAGTAGTTTTTATACCAATACAAACCAATTTTCATCTATAAGCACTTCTCTAATTTTCCACATGATTAATTTTGATAAAGTTGTGGTATTTTAAACCATTTTCTCACACAACAACATGACCTACAATCCCAAGACTTGATTAAGTTATTCTAAGACCTGTAGACTTTATGCTCTACTGAGCTAACCTGACAGGCTTTCTTCTTACACAAAGGTTTGATGATATCCAAGTACATGTACATATGTAATCAATAACACTTACATTGGCACTTAGATCTTCTGATTTGTCCACCAACAATTCTAATCTTTCACCTCTATCTGCTATCTGATCTGATGGAAGGAAAATTATACAAAAATATTATTAGCTCATGTCAAAAGACACTAAACAAACAAGAGCTGTCCGTAAGACAGTGTTCTCAGATATTATCAGCCCTTGACAGTAAAAAAAAGAGGCATGACTTTGTGTAAATACGTAACTCAGGGTTATGGGTCCTATGCCCATCATGTTAGATAATCATAGAAAACAAGTGTGTGAAGTTTCAACCCGTTCCCTTCAAAGATTTGAGAGATACCAACATGCATACAAATACTTAACCAAAGTGTGACAACCACCCTGACACCAGGGTGAAAACATTCAATTCTAAGAAAAGTGGAGCTAAAAATGTACATTCTGACCGGGTTTCTGACCAATCAATTACCTGAGCTCTTGAGTTTTAATTAAGGAAGGTTTTTTTGATTTTACAGTGTAAACTTACTCTGTTTTGAATTCCCAAAATCAAAATAATGACATTGAGAAGCTTACAATATCAAGTTTAGTCTGGCTCTATAAATGTATAAACATGATAAATTTCATTTTGTCCTAAAATAAAGGAATTTTGCTGTACTATAAATTAATTTTAAAGATTCTTGACAGGTAAAAATTAATAGTCATTTAAAAATGTTTGTTTACAATATAGCCGTTGCCTAGCAGCTTGGGTTATATATACAAACCAGCTTTTATATAGGGTCATATAACCTGCTTAAATAATTGAATGTATTCAAAAATTGGCTTCAAGACTGCATGGTTAAAAGAAGGTTAAAAGACCAACCTGCTCACCGTAATTAATTTATACAGGCTAAATAAATTTCAAGATGTCCTCGAATATCAGGAATAAATATCTACCTATATTTCTGACCATTATTCCTTTCAATTCTTCCACTTGACCTTTGGCATTTTCCAATTTGTCTGATGATTTGTTAATATCGGAGGAAACTCTCTGTAAAGAAGTAAATCATCTAACATGTTAACATCATGAATATATCAAAGAACATGTAATCAAGCAATGCTCTTTTTTTCCTTTTATCAAAGCTTATTAATTTCATAATGCACTTAATAATTTCAACTAACTTATTTAAATGGACTTGTCCAGCTTCCATTTTTTGGAATTGTCCAATTTTGGGGATATCAAGGTGAAAACTTGAAGTAGGGCAGGCTAGAGTATAAAAACTGGTAAGACTGCATGGAAATGCAGGCTTGTCTGGCTCCATACAGGTGGTGACGGCTTATCAATTTCAGTTCCAACAGGATTAATAATATCTGTCATATGTTTGTGGTTCATATCAGAATATCCCTCCCTTGGGCCATGGGCGGGTTCCCAAGGGACAGATATTCCGATATTAACTGCAAACATGTGAGATTTTTTTCTTGCATATTCTACTATATTCTATCATATTTTAGATTCTTTACATCAATAAAACAATTTACCACGTAAATTTATGTCATTACACTCGTAACTATTTGCTTACAACAGTATATGAAATTACAACTTCATTCATAACAGTGAAATTACATCAACAGTCATTCTAAGTATGCCATTGTACAGCACGCAACTCATCTGGCACCCCCTATGCCAGATGAAAGTTCCGGCTTGGGTAAAACTAACTGAAACACCAGTCTGATATGCAAGAAAATTGTAATATATACCATCTTGACTTGATGGAAAAAAATATATCAAAAAATTAAAGTGGAAAAATTTTCATATATTATGATGCAATTAAACACCAAGGCAACAAAAAGAGCATTCAAAGATCAATTAAGAAACAATATGGTAATGAACACAAGAGTGAACTTAAATTAATAGTATGGGGTTTGTTTTTGTTTGGATTAATGGCGCATCATCACAATTTAGGTCAAACAATATGTGGTATTGTAAGGTAAATAGAAATGGAAAAATAGATAAATACTTCTGAAGAAAATACGAACATTTGTGATCCTAAGGCCATTGAATCAGTAAAATTAGTTGTCTTTATTTGCAATAGATACAGATAAAATGAACATGCTGTCTTTACTACGAGAATGGCTTATAAACAGATATCCATTAAAAGGCGTAAATAAAAACATTACAATATTTACCATTTGTGTGGCCATTACTCTGCTGAACTCACTGTTCATTGCATAAGGTAATGCTGTCTGTGCCCTCACACCATACTGCATCTGGAATCTAAATTTTCAAAAAACATTCTAATCTTGTTTTTTTTTCCTCTTAACTAATATGACATTTTATTAAGTTGAGTTAATAAAAGTGTTAAATATTTAACAAATGTATACAAAAACAAAAGCTGTTGATAGGATTCAACTTCTCTCACTGTTTGATAGCAAAACAAGAGCCCTGGATTATGAAGAATTTTCTAGGTTTAAAAAGGGCCATAATTCTGTCAAAATCCATGTAAGAGTTATATGCCTTTGACAGTGACCCCCTATTATGCTGTAAAAATAAGTGTGTACAGTTTCAACCAATTTCCTTTAGTAGTTTTGGAGATACCAACTTGCACATTAAAACTAAACCAAAGTGTGATGCCGACATTTGTGTGAGTACAATAGCTCTCCCTATTCTTAGAAAAGTCAAGCTAAAAAATTAAAATAAGTTACTAGTGCAGTCTATATACGGCCATATATTAACTTCATTCATAAGTCAATGGTATATCTTGATGGCGAAAAACATAGTAAAGAGAGAAAGAAACTTACTTCCTCTTAATTTCTGTCAGGAATGTAAATGCCTTTGCCCTTTCATAATCCTGAAAGACAAATATAAGCAATAAATACTTATATCAATACAATAACAAAATGTGTATCATTGCAACAGTTTACCATGGCGGGTTTTTAAGTGACATTTGAGTAATATGGTCATCATTAATGACCATGCCATGGAAAGTTACACAATGTATGTACCAATTGAATCTGCAAATATTTTCCTCCAACATGGTATATGTTGTTTATTCTTAATTATAATGAAAGATAAAACAAAAATATAGCTTAAAGAACCTTGCAATTTATGGGGGCAGCCATTAGCGGTGACCTTATGTTATTGTAAACAAATGTCATGAAGTCAGGGATTTCATGTAAACCCTAGAAGATTTAGAGATTTCACATAGACTCTATACAAGTTTTACTGTATAATCCTATATGAATATCATTTAAACGCTTTAATCATCATCTGATAACTTATATGAAGTTTTATTAAAAAACAACCCCCCCAAAAAAAACCAACATAAAATGTTAATATGGGATGCTCTATGCTTTGTAACTTAATGCAAACAAATGTTTAAGTGTATGCAGTAGTTATACAGCACATGTAAAAATCATATGAAATGGACATCTCACATGTGATATGCAAGGAGTTATGTTATCAAATGACACTGTAGGGATCATAGGTTTGAGCCCTACTTGGGTCATTAACATGTTTTCGCACCAGCACTGGTTAATACTAGGAAGCAGACTCAAATAAGCTACTGATTTTTATTATATAAATAAATTGTAATGTTTGAACATATTACATAAAACTTTAGAATTCTCTTTAAGATGCAAATTATACAAAATCTACTTACATCATCTGTTATACAAAGGTAAACAATTCGGTCCTCGCAGATATAATGAAATAAATAACTGAAAAGAAAGGAAAATACAAATTGTTGTAGGTATTAAGCTTCTTTCTGTATATATTTTCTAATCAACATGTCATATTTGACATTGACATGGTGACAATGGTAATAAAGAACAACTCTCAACATAAGTGCCCAACTTTATTTGTCATCAATTGAAAATGCTGTATTTCTTCAAAATTCTGTGTGTTAATTTTCATAGAAGTACAAAAGTTGATACTATATCGAATTCAGTACATAGTCAACTTCTTTTTTTCATAGTACTTCATAAAACCACATAGTGACGTAATAAAGTGAATGATAATGAGGCCAAATAAAGCTTGACACTAAATATGTTAGTATTCATCCGTGCTGTTCTACAGAAATTAGAAACATTCTCCTGTGGCTATCTCTCCCGTCCAAGTTTCTAATTTCTGGAGAACAGCATGGGTGAACACTAACATATACTTAATGCTGATTTATAAACATTTAAAAGAAGGTAAGCATAAAACTTTCACTTGAAATGTCTGATTAAGACAATAACATTAAAATTGAAAATTTTTAACCAGTATTATGAACACAGCAATACATGATATAAACCACATATCCAAATCTAAATCCTTTCTGTAAACAAAAAGATTGACTGAAAAATCAGAAAAAAAAGAAATACATGTAGTTACTTTTAGCAAAGATTACTTATGTTACAGGAAAATAAAATCTAAATTACATTCTAAATAAAGTCAAAAGGAGAGATAGGTAAAACTTGAAAAATAAGGGTCAAAGTAATGAGGCCAAGCATAAGTGGTTAAGGTCATTGACTTCTAAGCACTTCTTGATGTTGTGGGTTTGGATCATGCCAAGTATTTGGATTCTTCCATTTGTGGAAGCTTATCCAGATGGCTCACAGAAGGTCGTGATTTTATTTGGGGGCATATTAGTGCCTGAAAGAATGCACAGTCAGGCACAGCCAACTAAAGATAGTTACCTAATCACCTTTAAACTGTCACCAAAACATTATCAGACCCACAGGGGGCCCACACAGTGTTTGGATGGTATATACTGCTTGATAGTGACCTTAAAATGAGATTTTAGTCATAACCTTATAATATGTATATAAATATAGACTATATTTATATACGATATTATAAGGTTATGACTAAACTCTCATTTTAAGGTCACTATCAAGGAGTATATACCATCCAAACACTGTGTGGGCCCCCTGTGATCAGACCAAAGTTACCTTGTCATATAAAGAGGCTGGAAAATGAAGCTGGGACTAGTAGTTGGTAAAACATAACTATTGTACTCCCGAACAAACACTTAAATCTTAAAAAAATATATTCAGCAGCAATTACCTATATCAAAACAATTAATGTACCGTATTATAATTTATGACAGTTATTCGAGAAAATTGCTGATTACCTTCCATGTGAGTATGTAAGCTTGGAATTATCAGGTGGTATTTTTGCAAGAATTTGTTCTGTTACTTCCGTGAAGTTTCCTGCACAACTGGCATATTTAGCCAGGACTGTTGTCCCCCGTGCCACAGTACAAAAAAGGATAGGCATCCTGTAAAAATAGTTAGTATGTCTTCAGACAGATAAAGTTTACACATGACTTCAAGTACATAATAAAAAAAAACATGGTACTATAAACCATAGGCATAGATGATATCTTTACAGGACTTAAATTATCTTTCAGTATGAACAGTTCATTATTGTCATTCCATTTCTAAAACAGCGACAGGGTAACAGCAGTGAGCACTTGAAAAAAAAAGAAAGGTAAAAAGAAAGAATCTTTTTGATGTTTCTCACACAGAACATTTTAAGGCCATTTTTTTTGCCTTTTGGTATATTGATCTTTTTTAAAAAAAGGTAGGGTCGAGGCTGGAAAAAAGAAAAAAAATTCATATCTTTAATGTCTGAAAGGTGAGATGCTAGTTATTATAATCCTTTCTCTTATGATTAGACCATCCCGATTCTGATAAATGTGATGCGCACATTGAAATGACCGATTGCCTAAATTCGACAGTGCTTATAAATACAAAATCATTGTTCACATGTGTGAATCCACAAATAAATAAGATACCATGTTGCCATTATTCAAAAACACACATGAAATCTACACACAAGATGACCTCTCTGACCCTTCAAAAGAATAAGTCAATCTTTGATGTTCACACACATGTAGTTCCAGTTGTTAAATTAAAAAACATCAAATGTACCAAAATTCAACTGACTTGCATTAATTTATTTACAGAACAGTAGATAAAAATATATCAAGTATAATATTATGTGTTAAATTATTACCGAAATTGAAAAATATTTCTTGGATAATTAGCGGTTCAATTATTTACACATAAAAATCATTAATTGTAAGTGCATTTTTTTTATTTGGTTTGAAAGGAAACCCATATTCAATCTCCTATTTAAGACAATTTTTAGTTGTTTTCTTTGGCATTTTTAAGCAATTGAACCTTCAAAACATGATTTTATACTTACATCTACATACCTGAAATAAATTTTAATTATACCTATATAGATACTTGCTTGACCCATTTTACAGCTTTTTTTTTTCATGTTGCATGCAAAATACATCGCTGTATAAATTATCTCAATGTTTCTTTGAAAAATTTTAAACCAGACATTATTTTTAAATTGATCAGGATAATCATACATTGTAATTTTGAAAGAGGTAAAATGGGAGTAGGTACTAGCTAAGTCATGTAAGTGATTCTTCTAACCTAGTCACTTGGCTATAATTAATATAAAGTGGTTGTCAGATTAAAAATAAAGTTTCTCAATCATAGATTGTATATAAACTTTATAAACTATACGGTACACATCAAAGTCATTGTCGAACCTGTTAATTTAAATGGCTTTCTTCCTACTTTCACTATTTGACAGTCTCTGTTTACTTGGGAAATGACATCACTAACACATGACTGACTGGTTTAATAAATGAGATTAAGAACCGCAAATTCATAAAGAGAAAACTAAATTAAAGTAACCATTCTATACGACAAGCTTTTTAGTACACAGACTAAATTTGCGCAACGTGAAAAATGTCATCTAACATACAAAATAGTGGGTCTAAACAGAAAGTTCTAGAACCAAGGAAAGATAAAATGAAAATATATGTGGTATGATTCTCAACTTTTCTAAATAACTAGACGTATGTTAACATCATCTGTATATAAATGTGAGAGTGATTTTCGTGATATTGATCTTGATTAATAGGTGCTTGGTTATCGATGTTAGTGCGTACTCCAGTCAGCTCGTACCCAAAATGTTTCTGACGATTTATACAGTCACGGATTTAAATTACATTTAAATTTAAATCCGTGATACAGTGTTATAGACAAATTAAACTTAACTTGTCACTTTTATTTTGACGTAGCTAAAGCACGGTGTCAAGGGTATACGCATCATTTTTCCGCGTACCGTCGATAATTTATCATCCTGCGTGCAGCACCGTATCATTTTAGACAAAACAAACACTGAAACACAACATGCATGGTAGAAAACGACCTGAAAGTCACACTTTTGCAGTAAATGTATTCATAAAAGTGTGTCTACGGAATATCATGATCATTGAAGCTTATGTCTTTACCTAGTTTTTATCAAAGACTTGTACGATTTCTTTGTTTTAATGAAAACAACTAGAGCTGGCTTGGGGAAAATGACCATTTGGAAAACTTTTAAAAGGAGAAAATTATATTGTCAATCAAAATATTTTTTTGATATAACTGTAAGCAACAAAGATATGCATACAAAAAATAGTGCACACAAATTTAAGCTATTTAAAGGTCATAAAAGCGTCACAACTGACCGAGTTCTTGGTACCGCATCATGGGTCCGCACCGAAAATTGTGGCACCGTATACATTTGCGCTAGACTTGCACCGCACCATGATCATTAACCTAATGGTGAATAATTTTATTTGTATTTATTTATTGTTGCCCATGTGGGCGAAGCATGTAGATATATATTAATTATTTACAAACCAGGGGAAAATGCATAAATACTAGTCAGTTCTAGAAGCAAACCTGGTTCTTTGTGTGTCCGGTGTAAACAAATTGGACCACGGTCACATTCGAAAGAATCTGAGTCTTTACTTAATTATTAAGATCGGTCGATTAGACTTTATTATGCATGTAAAGAAGCAAGTTTATAGTGAAATTGTTATGTATATTTAACACAAATATGCATATTATATATTGTTACAATTTTATACATACTCTTTGAGATCGTGCTTACGGAGAGAGTTCTAAAAAATTCAAGCTTCCTACTCAATCTGTGCAATTTGATATCTGTCAATTACATGTATCATGTAAATGAAATGTTCATAAATGAAATATTGTTATAACTAAAGAATTTGAGAAAATACATTGGAAGAGTAAGAAATCGAAGCCGAGACTTCAAGACTGAAGCGGCGGACTTTGAATTATGGCATCGCTTGTCGAGGCGCCATGTTTCCTTGAGCAAGAATCTTAAATTGTTGTGTTTAAAGTTATCTTTAAGTTTTATAATAGTCTATCAATAACTGGAACAAAAAGGAGAAATACAAGCATGCCGACACAAATATTTAATGGATACAGTACGCGTTTTCCTTCAATATTGTCTTCTTACAGACATAAGAAGACAATTTTGAAGAAAATACGAGTAACTGTATCTGACTTGTAAAGAACCGATAAATTAATAAACACATTTAATTATATTATAGATCTATGTATGTTCACGTTGAAAATATAAAACTATAGAAAATATTTGCAAGGCTTTTAAGCTTTGGGCATTGAAAGGTGTAGGTAAATTGTATTCGCACGGAACTTTCGTGCACTTAGTCAATCGGACATAATTCACTTTCATTTATGATAAACAATGTTTAAATGGCTGTAACAGAATGTGGGTACATTAAATGTCAAGTTTATGTTTTTTTTTTATAGAATGTCAGACGATATAAAAAAACACTAAGTGTTGTACCATCTTCCAACGAACAACTGTTAGTGTCGTCAATGCTAAAATCAACAGTTACTTTGGTTCTGGAAATGGCCATCCAATTTCTCGATAAACTAAATATTCTCATGAGATGCGCACTACTTTCTACGGAATACCGTGGATTAAAGTTAAAATACAGAGGGCGAGAGTGCGATGGCGAGAGTGCGACAATGCGATGGCGACAGTGCGATGACGACAATGCGACAGTGCGATGGCGACAGTGCGATAACACTATCGCCCTGATGTCTTCGTACTATCGCGTTGTCGCACTCTCGTCATCGCACTGTCGCACTCTCGCCATCGCACTGTCGCACTCTCGTCATCGCACTCTCGCATTGTCGCCCTCTGTATTTTAACGTAAATCCACGATGGCCCTAACGGTATTCCGTAACTTTCCATCGGTTTCTATAGTGTCCTGTTTTTAGCCTGTTAAGATTGACTAAATCTCTTGTTTAAGTGAATTCAATGTTGAATGGCGCGAAAAGTATTTTGTGAGAATGTAAAATCTCGCTACTTTATCTATAAAAATACAGAAAGGTGGACAAAACTTTACGAAAAAATCGAGCATGTCAATAGCAGTTCTTTAATTGTCCCAAGAAGGACACCGTATATTTCAACTGCACTAAATCCATGTCAAAAGTAACAGTTATCTAACTATTGTGGCTGATTTGGAACACTTTTGTGCGTTGTGTTGGCGCTAGCCAAACGGCGCGTTGTCGGATTTTCGTCTTGTCCTGTCGCTAACGAAGTACTCCAAACGGCACATTGTCGTGCGGCGTGTTGTGGCGATGTCATATTGTCGCTCAGTTCAAATCGAATGATTGGCTTAATATAAGCTAAGGGACAGGGCGACATCGCGACAACACGCTGTATGACAACGCGCCGTTTGGTTAGGGCTTCGTTACAGACAGGACGACAAGAGCGCGACAACATGCCATTTGGGGCTTTGTCGTGTTATTGCTATTAACAAGACAAAAAGTTGATATCGACAACGCAACGCGCAATGTACCAAATCAGCCACCATATCTTACAGACGTGAGAATACACTTTTTGAATAGCTCTGCTGGTGGGGGCGAGGGATTATAGTCGTATAATAATACAGGGAGGATAACTCAAGCATATTATGGTGACTGAGTTGGTACGCTTTTGCACGTCTAGTTTGCGCTAGCGACAACACGACAAAGCACCAAACGGCGCGTTGTCCTACTTTCGTCTTGTGGTCCTGTCGCCAGCGACAACACGACAAAGCGTGGTCCTGTCTCTAGCGCGGCACGCCAAAATGTGCGTTTTTGTGCGGCGCGATGTTGCCCTTTCGCTGGCTTATAAGCCAATCCTTAAATTTGAACCGAGCGACAATGTGACATCGCTACAACACGCAGCGCGACAACTCACCGTTTGGTGCTTTGTCGTATTGTCGCTAGCGAAAAGGCGATCACAATATAGGTTGCGTCGTTGCTATCGACAACGCAACGCGCAATGTACCAAATCAGCCACCATACATAGTTGCCACCTTTCATAAGTTCAGTAACATGCGTAAGTTACGTGCCCAGTCAATTAGTTAAGTAACTAAAATCCAAATGTAAAAAAGAAATACTATTTTAGAAATATGAGCTTTGACTTGCTTGTGTGTTGTATTAACGAATTTGAGAAAAAATTCAATTACTGATATCTGCAAATATTATGCAATTCCCTTGTCCAAAGAAAAGTTCAACTTCACAACAGACATAAAATGCAACTGCTACGAAAGCATAGATTTTTAACAAGAAATTATCTTTAAAAAACTATATAGGTCCAGATTGCTTCAAGGCCCAGGTAATCTACTGCCCCGCTTACTCTAACCGATAACCAACATCTACCTCTTCTTGTTAATCTTACATTAAAAAAATAACAATACTCCCCACCCCAACAAAAAAAAAACAACAAAAAACGGTTAAACATAATTTTAAGTACATGTATGCAGTATAACCGCGCAAAAAGAAGCGGTGCCATGGTTCTGCATGATGCGGTACCATGTTTATCAACGTTTTCTTGATTTTACAACATTATTTTGCATTATTTGTATAAAATTGACATGTTATCAGTTCGGGTCAATGCTTTTTGTGATAATTTGACATATGATACTTCTTCCGACAGCTTTACTTTCGGAAAAGGATGAAAACTGTTTGCATCAAAAACACAATTGTTTCACACGTATAAAAGTGTTTTCATTAGTTTCAGGTTATAATAGACAAATATTGTTGCAAAATGTCTTGCACACATAGATGAATCATTCAAAAATTCCGTGATGTATGCAAGCTCTCAAAATAAAATCAATATTAGTAAGAAATTTTGGCATTTTTGAATTGACCTCTTGAAACTTTTCAGAAGATTACGTAAGAATGATACGGTGTTGCGCGCAGGATGATAAATTATCGGCGGTACGCGGAAAAATGATGCGTACACCCTTGACACCGTGTAAAGAGACTTCAGGGAACAGGTTTTATAGCTCTGCTAGACTTGTTACAGTCGCACAGCGTCAAAATAAAAGCGACAAAGTTATGGAAGCAAGAACTAATTTTGATGTGCAACAGTGACATTATGGGTCAACCCTTTTTGCAAAAAACTACCAGAATTTTGGCTGTTTGTGTACCATACATAAAAGCCTATTAAAAACAAACAAATAATTCATGAATCATCACTCAAAACAATATAAATTCGACAAGTTTTTGGTACAATGTCTGTTATTGAATAAATACACCGTTATTCATAATTGCAAAGTTATGTTTTCAATTAAAAATAGCATTTGGGTCATGTGTCACAAAATGTCATGCAAAGGTATCCAAACCTAAATTCTCGCTAGTCACGTGATAATATAAAGGGCAGCAATTGGGGCAAATTTTATGAAATACGAACCCACTGATAAACTTAAAATGAGGTCTAGCAGTACTATAAAACCTGTTCGCTGAAGTCTCTTTAGCAAGGTCACAATATATTGTGGCAGTCATATTTGGTTTTATCTCATATATCGGACTATTTTTA